ATATTCCAAAAGATTTAGGGTGGTCTAGGAACCCACCCTCTCTTCTTCTTCTTCTCCTTTGGGAGACGATGAACGTATGCATGCATGTATGTTCAGGTGTGGGAATGGTCAGAAAGTGGTCTTAATTCGCCGCAAGTCTGCTTTCAATTTATACCCGCGTGAGTCACCGCGTTGATTCAGCTTTCTGAGGCTCGTGGTGGACATCGTTGAAATCGACAGTCGAACTGCCATGCATGTATGTATGCATTTATGTATGCGAATTATGGATGCCTATTTGTGACTTCGCTGTACGTACGGTCAGAAGCCGTGCCCCTTGGGTGGGATGGCTAACTCGTCGTTGGCTCGGCAGCTGTAACAGGAATGCAGGAAAAGCGAGCTCTAGAGGCATTTGAGGAGAAGGAGCTTAATTGAGGCAAATGGTTGCAGCCCAGGTATGTGTGTAGATAGAGAAGGAGAAGACGCTTCGACCACCGGAATCACACTTTTACGCATCTGAACTGTCGGGCTCTTTCTGGAGTCCATCATCAGAGATAAAAGACGTCAAAGAAAGACAAGTTACAGTTCTAAGAGAGGAGGCAATGAAGCGCCAGTGCTATCAGTCCGGAGATGCCTGCGCAAGGCCATGTGTGCCGGTGCCAGATCGATAAATCGATTGCCTGAGTTCTCATCCGAGGTCCAGTCTTCAATCAGTTCTCGTCTTGCCTTGTTTTCGGCGTGCGCGTTTGCCCTCGCAGCTGCGAAGTTGAACTCGTGACTGGTCTCAAAGGTGTGGGCAGCCATTTGCGATAATGTGTCACCCCGTCGTACAGCCAGTTTATGTTCGTGTATGCGTGAACCAAGCATGCGTCCTTTCTGTCCTGTGTAATTTTTGGGACAGTTTAGGCCTGATATGCGATACACAATGCCCAACTGCTCTACGGGATTTAATCGGTCCTTGATTCGCATGACCCGGTTGCGCATAGTAGTCTTGGAATGGTGGACAATTCCGACGCGTAGTCGTTTCTGACACATCCTTGATGTATGGCACCGCATGCCATACCGTACGGGTTGGTTCTCCTTGGGTCCACGGAAGACGAGGACGTAGGCATCGGCTTATTATGGCCTTCGGATAGCCATTCCGTATAAACTGGTCGCGGAGATATTGGGCCTCGCGTGCTTTTCTTCCGATTTACTGCGGTAAGTCTGGATTCTTTTGAACAGTGTTCTCACCCAGCTTCGTTTGTGAGCCACAGTATGGTTGCTATGACAATTCTGCATGGGGCAGAATTGTGAGTGAACTGCAGGAGACCGCAACAAAGCCAAATAGTCCTGCGCACACTAAATACCATATGAATGGATACACCTGATTGCCAATTGCATGTTATCAGTCGCATACCTCCTCAACTTGCACAAACGCCTGTTGATCTCCTGGTTATAAATTCAACGCTCCACCCAATAAGCCAAACGATTTTTTGTTCTGTAAATGTTTATTGGGAATAGTGACAATGGTCAATAGAGCTGGGATGACTCTCGAACTTGTCGGACCAACCCTGCTGTCCGAAAGGTCACAACGCATGATCCATTGCTTGGAGCATAGCCACTTGTTCACAGCTTATAAGTGGTTATCGACCGACGTCTAATGGGACCCAACTCGTTTGCCTTCGTTCACACGGACATTAATGGCAGTGCATCAGTTATCCAGGGTAACTTATCAGACGTCGGCGCAATCCCCAACAGACATATACAAGTACAATTGTCTCCAAATCTTAATAAACTTGCTTCATCTCGCCCGGAATCCAAATTGGCTAGGACGTCAAGAATGTTGCTGAGTACAGATTCAAAACAACCCAAACCAGCAGCCGCATACAAAAAACACTACAGAGACATTCCTGTCCTTGGCCTTTCAGTTGGGGAGGTCACTGTAGTCCTGCTCAACCATCTGCAAGCACATTTGAACAAGTAACGCGGTCGGAAACACGGGTGATTTTTGAAATTTTCAAGAAATCATGAAGATTGGGATCACGCAGCAAAGCTACCTTGAATTGAACATTAACGCGCACGCAATATCTACGAAACTGCCAAAAGCCTCCCATGCATGGGGCTACGATGAACTCAGAAAAAAAGAGAAAAATTCGGAAGGCTAGGCGGATTCACGTGGATGGTGAAGAAACTGCATGACGAATGATGGTGCACGCGTCCCAGTGAAGGCGACAGTGGCTGCAGCTTTGGCAGTAACGAAGGGCTGCACACTTGCTCCCACTTTCTTCTCCACGGTGTTTACCACCACGCTGCTGAAAGTATGCCCTAGTTAACAGATCTGATCCAAAACAGACGTATAAGTTATTGGGAAACTACTCAACATTCTAGACCAGTGCCCTTGAATTCATATTTGCGGTTAACTACGACTTAAACGTAGAGAAACATACATGTTACCGCACATCTTTGTTTGCTTTCAACTCCTCAGAGGTTCAAGCAGCAACCACTCGGGCGGAAAGGGTAGTCATGATTGAATTTCCCTCAATGCTGGCCACACGGAACCCAGTACCCATGAAAATCGAATCCGCCGCATACAAGTGGTCAAATATTTATGATTATTGTTTATGTTTATGTTTCTTGTAGGCAAAATGTCAACAAAAGTAAAATACTATTGAAAGTGCGACTAGAATTTCCATCATGGGCCAGACATTGAGAAAGTTTCCACGCAGCCACCGAATGTTTCACTACCTCCTCTTATTTAATAAATGGAGGCTGCCGAGGACAGTTGTTCTGACAACGGCCTTGTACTGGTTGGAGTCCTGAGTGATATACGAAAGTAAAGCTAGTAATCCCAGTAATATTCGCCCTAGCCGCTTCGGCAAAATATTTAAAGCGAAGTGGCAATAAGGATCGTAGACAGCGAGACCATGTAAAAAGCCGGCACCGCGCGCATCAGCACCAAACTGAGGCTGCTCAGTGCTGACAAGGCCGTGAATACATGGACGCTATGAATATGCCACTAAGTACCCCTAAACCAACCCTATGACATGTGAAGTTCGCATAAGCATATGTCACTGTTCAGCGGACTAAAACACCGAGATATGAAGACAATTGCATAGAAGAGGACCATTCGAGGGGGTAGTAAGCGTTACTCTTTAAAGTCGCGGAGCAAACAATTTATGAACGAGAGTAACGCCGTCAATTATCACGGGTGCATCGTCTGCTCTATAGCATGGCGGCCCAGGGGTAGTGACTTGTGTGTGGTTAAGTGCTTTCAGTTGAAAGCAGTGCGACCATCCCACCTCAGGCGGCCGACAGCTCGGCGGTGGGGAAAGAGAGTGAGGTGGACCCTCGGCGCGTTTTCTGCCTCACTATGATTTATCTGATGCGCTTGAGACTGTCGCGGTGCGCTAAAATCCGTGCCTTCGAGGGTTGCCAGCTGGCGGCATAACCTGGACACCGCAGTCGGTCCAGTGTATTTTGTTGTGTGGTGTAGCTGTCCGCAGGCTGAAAGTCAGATTCAATAGCTCCTTCTTAATTTGGTTTTTATGGCGCTCCCCGTCGGGAGCATATCTAGCGGGACGTGCCGTTGGTACGCGTGTTGAGTTTTGGTCGCGCTTGCCGGCTGCGCCACCCCTCATCGCCGGCCTTCTTGAGTCTCTCCTGACAACCGGATCCCGATGGGAGATTGGTCAGCGAATGATGTAGATTCACCGCGAGTCTGCTTTTTCTGCTTTTCTCGCGGAAGTCACCGCGTTGCTTCAAGTCATTAAAGTCGTGGTGGATATCATCGAAACCGACGTTCAAACTGTCAGGGGTATTAGATTTGGGTTGTATCTACCGCATCCTCTCGTTCGCTCCCAATTGGGCCAATTGTTGCCATATAATAGGCTAAACATATCGATGCTGAAGAGTCCGAAAGGGTTCTTCACAAGTCAAAAGCTTCTGGGAACCACCCTGTCAATACTCCAGCCCTCACAACATGCCCACTCTACAAAAACGCACGTTCCGCGAGGTAACTGGCCTCGTTGGAAATCATCGGTTGTGATGCATCAGCATAAACTTCGACATCAATCAACACTCTTCTGTAACTTCTGATGAGGTAACTACG